GACTTCTTTAGGGTGTTAAAGAGCAAAGATGTCACTTTGAAGGCAAAGGTGTGCCTGATTCAAGTTATGGTATTTTCAATCAATCGCCTCATATGCACATGAAAGCTGGAATATGACTAAGGAAGACTGAAGAAGAACTGATACCTCTGAATTATGGTGTTGATGAAGAATACTGATCATACCAAGGACTGCCAGAAGAACAAACACATCTGTCTTGGAAGAAGTAGAGCCAGAAGGCCCCTTAGAAGCAAGGATATATGTCATCTCACATACTTTGGACATATTATCAAGAGGGATCAGTCTTTGGAAAAGAACATTATGCTTGGTAAAGGAGAGGGAGAGCAGAAAAGAGCAAGACCCTGATGAGACAGATTGACACAGTGGCTGCAACAATGGGCTCAATCATAGAAACAACTGTGAAGATGGCACAGTGTTTTTCATTCTGTGGTATGTAGGGTCACTGTGGGTTGGAAAAGGAGCTCTAGTAGCATAGTGCCTAAGGCACTTGACTGCTAACCAGAAGGCTGGCAGTTCAAACCCACCAGCCACTCCTTGGAGGGAAGATGGGTCAATCTACTTCTGTAGTGATACTGCCTCGGAAACTCAAGGAGGGGTCGCTATGAGTCGGGGCTGACTCAACGGCACATAACAACAACAACATGGGTTGGAACCAACTCAAGGGCATCTAACAATAGTGACAAAAAAAAACAAGATAAAGATGGTAGAAACATACTACCATTCTATTACATTTGTTAAACACCACATAAGGACGTTTCCAGAACATGGGATATTCTACAGGACAAACAACTCACTTCTTCAACAAACAAATTGTAAGGAAAAGGAAAAAATAAGAGAGCGAGCGAAAGAGAGGGCTACCAATTAAGACACATTACTGACCAAATGCAATGTATGGACCATGCTTGGATACTGATTTGAATCAATCAATTGTAGAAAAACAAGTTTGTGTGTGTGTGTGTGTGTACACACACACACACCACACAAAGACATATGACATAATAGTGAAATATGAATTCTGAATTAATTATGATTTAAAAAGATTATATTTAGGCATGATAATGGAACTATGGTGATTTTTTTTTAAATAAAAGAATCCTTACTTTTTATAGACATATAAAAAGCAATAAAGAAATTATAAATGAAATGATAGGTTATCTGATATTTGCTTAAAAATAAACCACTTTGGTAATGAGGTGGAGGGAAAGACAGATGATGAAGATGGGCCAATGCATTAACAATGTGTTGTTAACAATGGTCCACATATGAGATTTATAACTCTATTCTCTCTACTTTTGTTCTTGTTAGAATTTTACTAGAATATAAAGTATAAAATGAATAGTAAAAAGATGGAACCAACCTAAGTGTCCATCAATGCATGAATATGCAAACAAACTATGGTACAAAAACAACATGGAATATTAAACAACGTTAAAGAATAACAATGGATCTGCAAAATCTCCCATAACATGCATGAACCTGGAGGACATTATGCTGAGTGAAATCAGTCAATTACAAAAGGACAAATATCGTATGAGACGACTATTATTTTTCTAAAAAGTTCACACTAAAAGAAATACACTTTGAAGACTACCAGCAAAGGAAACGCAGAGAGAGGAGGGAAAATCACGAACTAGAGAGTAGACACTAACTTGGGTGAAGGGAAAGTGATATATAATAAGAGGGAGGTCAGCACAAAATAACCAAGGGAAAGGAAGACAATGGGAGGAGCAAAACAGTTAGTTAAAGGCAACTAAGGTAAATACTATTACATACACAATCCTACAGTATTAGTAATACAGTAATTTACGAGCAGATACATAGAAGGAGCTCTGGTGGCACAGTGCCTAAGGTAGCTGACTGCTAACCAGAAGACTGGCAGTTCAAACCCACCAGCCACTCCATGGAAGGTGGGGCAATCTACTTCCGTAAAGATTTACTGTGTTGGAAACCCAATGGGGGTCACTTTGAGAAGGAATCAACTCAATGGCAGTGGGTACAGATATACAGACACACAACTTGAACAGATGTGGGAAGGTGAATGGGAAAACACCCATGCATATATATAGGTTTGACAAAGGATGTATGTATTTATGTATAAAGACATATGTATTTATATGTGCTGCAAATATATCCATGAATATAATATAGCACACAGGGGGTAAAGTAATGAAAACTACTTAGCTGTAACCAGACACCTTGAGGGAATGAATTGCTGGGCCTGGGGACTCAGGACCATAGACTTAAAGGACATCAAAGTCAACTGGCATAACACAGTCCACAAAGACAACCTATTTTGGTGAGTAAAAAGCTTATAAGTGGCCATCTAAGGTACAACTATTGGTGTCTCCCCATCCAGAGCAAAGAAGAGTGAATAAAATCAAACAGACATGATAACAATTAGTCCAAAAGACAAACAGACCATGTGAAACTCAGCTCCAGGATCCTGAGAGCAGAAGAACTGGATAGTGCCCAGCTGCTACTACCTACCACTCTGAAAGGGATCACAATAGAAGGTTCTGGATAAAGTGGGAGAGAACTGTGGAAAACTCAAAATCACTTAAAAAAAAAAAAAAAAAAAAAGACTAGGCTTACTGGTCTGATAGAGACTTTTAGAACCCCTGAGACTATGGCCCTTAAAAAATAAAAAAACAAACTCATTGTCATCGAGTCTTTTCTGGATCACAGTGACCCCCACTGAGTTTCTGAGGCTGTAAATCTTTATGGAAATAGATTGCCCTGTCTTCCTTCCACAGAGCAGCTGGTGGGTTTGAACCGCTAACCTTCCAGTTAGCAGTCAAGTGCCTTATCCACTATACCACCCGAGGCCCTTCCAACCCACTGCTGTCGAGTCATATCCGACTCATGGAGACCCCTCTTTGGATTTTCGAGGCAGTCTCACTATGGAAGTAGATTGCCCAACCTTCCTTCCAAGCAGTGGCTAGTGGGTTTGAACCGCCAGCCTTCTGGTTAGCAGTCAATGCCTTAGGCACTACGCTACCAGAGCCCCTTCACTAAACTAAAAAACTCATTGCCATGAGTTGGATCCGACTCATAGCAACCCTTCCTTCGGTTTCCGAGGCAGTATCACTACAGAAGTAGATTGCCCAACCTTCCTTCCGAGGCTTAGACAACCTTAAAGCCTGGAACTGAACTCAGTCCCTTGGTTCACCTTCCAGCCAAACAACAGGCCTATAACGGTAACACTGGGGAGGTATGCACCCTTACGACAATCAGTCATATGAGATTATAAGGGCAGCATTAGTCCCTATGCTCAGAAGGCAGGAACAGAGAGGAAGGAGGAGGAATGGAAATGGTCAACACAGTCAGGAAGTGGGAAGAGTGCCAGTACACTGTGGGAATTGCAATCAATGTCACAAAACAAAATGTGGGTGAATTGTTGAAAGGAAAACCAATTTGCTCTGTAAACTTTCACTCAAATCGCAATAAAAAGTTTCAAAAGGAAAAGTACAAAACAAAGAAGGGAGGGAGGGAGAGAAGGTAGGAGGGCCTCTACACAGTATGTATAGAAAATGTTTTGGCAGGATATATTTCAAAATGTTCAAGTGGTTATCTCTGGGGTAATGTGGTAACACTTTTTAAAATATAACAAATTTAGTATTTATTCTGAGTTGTGAAATTACTGGTAATTTTTAGTCTCTTTTTGCTTACCGTTGTTTTCTAATTGTTTCTACAATGGACAAATCAGAACGTTGATTCAAAAGTTGTTTAAAAAGACAGGAGGATTGCCAAAAACAAAAGCCTCCTGTCACACATAGATACTGACATGTAACTTCACATTTCTTAACAATTACTAGGTCACAGACCATTTTCAAAATATGATGAAAGATACTTCTCTCCTTAGAAACATTTATAATCCTACAGAATTTTGAGACTCTGAGAACCCACAGACTTCTGTGTTGTTATTAAATAATAAGAATGGTTGACATTTATGGCATATCTCCTTTGTGCCAAGCATGATTCTAAGTGCTCTGCAAGTGCTAACCTGCAGCCATGAGACAAGAGCTCTCACCATCACCATTTTACAGACGAGGAGAGTGAGGATAGAGAGGCTGGGTAACTTGCCCAGGGTGCCACAGCAACTGAGTGGCAGAGCCTGCATACAAACTCAAACAACTGGCTCCAGAGCAGGACTCTTAACCACCCCATCATGTGGCCACTTGTAGAGTTTAAGTGAAATAAACCAAACAAACGTGGCATCCTGAATCATACTCTGTGGAACATGTTTTCAAATTCAATTAACTTTAAGTGCCTGCCATGTACCAGATTCATCCAGACACACAAGCTATCCAGCTCTTACAGCAGCACTAAAGCGACTTGGCCAGGGCACCCAGCTAACTGTTACAAAACAGGACTGAACCTGTGGTCTTCTGACGTCAACCACACTATAGCACACTGATTCCCTTTAAGTTAATAGTCTGTGCTGATTCACACGCAGCCTGCTGGTAACCAAAATCTTATCAATACAGATGGCTATGGTCTCATATGATAGTTTAGTTTGTGGACTCCAAAAATTGCCCAAGCACCCTTGGGTAGCACAAATAATTTGTGGTTGTCTGCTAACCCAAAGGTTGGCAGTTCAAACCCACCCAGTGGCTCCATGAAAGGAAGGCCTGATAATCTGCTTCTGTGAAGAGCACAGCCAAGAAAACCCTATGGGGCACTTGTACTCTGTAAGGTACACATGGGGTTGCCGTGAGTCAAAACTAACTCAAAGGCAAAGGGCAAAAATTGTCCATGGTTCAAAGCGAAGGAGATGTGCCCTCCTCAGCACTCTGCTTTAGCCATCTGAGACATCTTGGATGGACACGTGCTTCCAAAAGTTTGCATCTGAGTTTCATATAACAGAATTGAATTGTCCAACATATTGAAGGCAAGTGCTATACCACCACATTGCATTCACACACAACACAGCCTGTATAAATACAGACAAGTGATTAAATGAAAGCCCTCCTAATGCTTACAGTTTCACAGTTCAAGCATCGTGTTTCATTGGTGAGCGTTCCCTGAAAAATTTCATGGACCCAAGTGAGTTCTGGTTTATTGTTCTCCGCAGGTTCGTTCATGTTGCCGTTTTTTAATTTGCCATTTTGCTTTTCCTGTTTCTTCTCTTCCTGCAGGATGTCCGCAATAGTGTTTAGCAAATAATTTAAAAATTCGTGAGCATCCTGCTGCATGTAGTTATCAAAGAGATCTGGAAAGGAGAAGGTCATTATTTCAATCTCTGTTTATTGAAAAGCAGAAGGACCTGCTTATTTTCAGGTATTGTCTTTTTTATATTTATATTGAAAAGGTGGACAGGTATGGAACATATATGTATTCACCTCTATTCTGCAGCTGCAATGGCTAAGTATTAAAACAATTTTGTTTCCATTTTCTGCCACCCACCAAGAGCTAAATTTTCTGTATCTCCATCACTCATCACATATATATAAAGTTACCAAAATTTTCATTCGTTCTATAAAAAACAGCAAAAACTACTTGATAAATTTCCTGATAAAGTATCAATTTCTAATATGATATCAACAAGCAGTGGTCAATTATTCATCTTGTAATTTATCCACAGCAACTGGGGTCTCTTCCCAAAGATCATATTAAACCCCAGAGCAGCCTGGAAGCAGCTTAAATGAAGCACGTAAGGGAGAGGGGTTGTGCTTGAAATGGTCTATCTGATAGTGCTCTGAAACTAAACACAGATGACTCCGGAAGCCTGCTGCTGTTCCATGCCATAAGGACTTGCAGCCAAGGGTTGAACGCAGCTGTGAAACTTCATTATTAATCATGTTCACAACTAGATTGGGAGTGCTGGGCTTCCTTCTCTACTCCCATGATTTTTACTCTGCTATGTATAAACTGAAACAACTCCAAAAGACAGCAATCAAATTAAACGAGATTTTATAAAACAAACATCTGATTAACTGTGCAAGTGTGTTGGAGCAAGCACAAATCTAGCATAAACACAAGGTGCCATGTCCAATATTATTTCTGTAGTCATAAAAATCACCAAAGCAAAATCTCTGGAATACACACCTGGTTTCTACTACTACCTCCACTATCACCGCTAGCCCCCAAAAAAGAAGATACAAAAAAACAGAAAATTCAGGTCACAGCCTAGCACTTTTCTCATATAAAGATATCAATTTGATATCTTTATATCAAATTTGATATCTTTCAATTGTCTTATGCAAATTAAAATCAGAAGCATTATTTTTAAATCAGCAGAGGCCCTGACTAGATGATAAACATTTATTTTAATCACTTATGGGAAGTTCATAAGATAGTACTACTATTTTATTCAATGATTGCATCAGCCTATTCATTCCCAAGACTGTCACACTTAGAAGTCTGCCTTGGGCAATTTTTCCCCTTACAAGGAGGCTGTCTGGAAAAGGACTCCTTCCAGTGGGAAACAAACAGGCAGTCCTTCCAGAATGGGCCGGGAAAACTGGATCTTTAACCACAGTTCTAATCTACTTTTGTTTTATGTGCACTGAGTGGGGAAGGAAAAATTTTTTTCAATGATATTTGAGTAAGTGGCCATATTTATTTTTCCTTAAAAAATTAGGTAGAGCAAGGAGCATTTTTAGGGCAGTGAAACTATTCTGTATGATACCATAATGATGAACACATAACCTTATACACTTGTCAAAACCTATAAAACCATACAACACAAGAAGGAACCTAAATGGAAACAATGGATGTTAGTTAATGATAATGTATCAGTTTTGGTTTATCAACTGTAACAGATGTACCACTGCAGTGTAAACTGTTAATAGTAAGAGAAACTGCATGCAGAGGGAGGAGGCGGTATAAGGGAACTCTGTATTTTCTGCATAATATTTCTGTAACTGCTCTAAAAAAAAAAATAAAGCCTATTTAAAATAAAAACAAGCAAACAACAAAGTAAAATAAAACATCTTCTCCCTTTGTGGCTACACAGAACTGTCAGTTTTCCTTATTTCGAGTTGTAAATGCATCGTGTACCACACTACTCACCATTCTCTTTTCTCAGCCTTGAAATAAACTTCTTTGGTGGGATCACGCCAACCTTCTTCTTCTGCGTGGCAATGCTGTGGAAAAGGTCTGCCAGGCACGTCAACAAGTTTTCCTTCTTTTTTTGCTGGGCCTTGTATGCCAGCACATTCTCACGGAACGGCCGGCAGAAGTACAATGCCTGAAGCACGGAGTTACAGTAGCATGTGTTTCCGAACTGCCAAAGGACAACAGGGATGGCTCAAAGTATGGTCCAGGGACATGACCCACCCTGGAACTGGTGGGAAAAGAGAGAAGGCCACCCTCTGCAAACCGTTCCAGACTTCCCTTCATCTGCATCCAGCTCCCCATATCAGGTAACTAGTAAAGTACTCTAAATACTATTAGCTATCTGATCTATGTCAAAGGGGAAAAGCATAAATGTTTGCATGAGCCTTAGGACCCTGTCTCTGAGAGAAAGCAATCCTGGTGCCTCTCCAGTGCATAAAAGTATCTCAAATGATAATAAGCACTCTGCCTTGATAAAGAGTCTAATGACAGCTCCTGATGCTTAGAAACAGAAAGGGAAGGAAAAACATCTACATGATATGGGCACCCAGAAAGGCAGCTGGCTAAAGAAAAGATGTCACACTGCAACACATGTCCATGAGAGTGAAAATAAAAAATCCAAATCCAAAAGATATCCAGGAAGTTCCTCCTCCTGCCTCAGCTGAAACAGCTCTGATTGAATGGCCACTTGTTTCAGCATTTCTCTCTCAAGACTTCAGGGCCCCTGCCCAGTGGCTTCAGACTGCATTTCCTCACTTATCCCAGAGCAGTGAAGACAAAACGGTGCCTCCTTAAGTCACCCTGCCAGCTTCTCCTCATCTCAGCTTCCAAATCACGCTCCATCTCCTTGCCACCACCCAAGTTTCTGGTCCCTTACAGTCAGATTAGGGCCCAGGCAATAATATTTTATACCTCTGCTATAATCAAGGGTACCCAGATTGTAGAGGGAAAAGGGCATCACCTCCGTGGTTTTTGACAGACTAGAAGAGCAAGTCGGGGGTGTGGGGAGAACACAGCTGAGACGATCCCTTTAGAATTTTCCATGCCCAAGAAAATGGAAAAGGAACAGGTCTGAAGAAGTAACAAGACTAATAACACAGATTAGAAAATGCTGCGTAGGATGAAAATAGAACATGAGCCCCTTCTCAGAACTGGTTGCTGGCTTGTGTGCCACTTCCCCAAGTGTGAGACAGATGCTCCGCCATACTTAACACGACATTTCTACATATGCTAAAATAGAAACTTGCCTATTTTTACATATTTTTAATCTACTTTGATACTATTATGTAATAGATGAGCCTCTCTTTACAGAGAAGCTGAACTTTCATAAATCACCCTCGGAAGGGAGCATAAATAGGGCAGTTAATAAAAGTAGATCTCACAAATCCTCCACAAACTAAGAAAGGGCCTTACTTCTTTTTCCTTCATAGAGCTAACACAGAGGCCTATGCACAGTGGCTAAATGAACTATGTTAAGACCAAAGTCAGCATTTCACCAACATAACTCCCTATACTCCAGGACTTTCGTTTTCCTCCTCCTATTCTCTGTCCTTCTACTCAGTGTGTCTCCTTTAGACACATCCCTTTCAGTAACACTTGGTGCTGATCCAGTGACAATCCTAGGGATGGAAAGCAACTAACATTTTCCGAGTGTTCACAATATGCCTCTCAGTCTCATGCCAGGGTCTGAAACAGGAGCTATCATTTATTTTTTTCTTTACTATAACCCCAAGATATAGGAGACATTTGATCCCCATTTTACAGATGGGGAAATGGAGGTTTAGAGAGGTCAGGTAACTTGCCCAAGAACAGTCAGAGTTCAAACTCCTTAAATCAGTATTACTTCAAAGGCAATGTTCTTTCCATTATACCACAGAATATTATTCACTGATGAGTTTATTTCCAGCTTCCCCAGTGGAAATTTCTACATATCACACCCTAGCACTAACAAAATGTACTCAAAGCAGTTAGTTGTCCCAGAAAACCAGGTGTTTATGAGTGAACACTTGATGTCACTTAAAACATCCGAGCAGAGAGAAATGAGTAGGTAAGGAAGAAAGCTCAAAAGGTTTCAGATATAGACTGCCTTAGTACATGGTTATAATCAACTTCTCAGAGAAGTAGAGCCTGCCCACGTACAAGGAGGCAATGCTGAGCACAGGATCTCTGGGTGGATGCAAACTGTTAATGAACTCAGCTGCTAATGGAAAGGTTGGTGGTTTGAGTCTATTCAGAGGCATCCAGGGAAAGGCCTCTAGCAATCTACTTCCAAAAAAATCCCCATTGGTAACCCTACAGAAAAAGTGTGACTCTTTGACACATATGGGTCACCACGGGGCAGAATCAACTTGATGGCACATGGTTTTAGTGTGGGACACAGGTAAAATGGAATTTTGAGATGAATTTGTTCCATTTTTACCCACAATTGAAGCCGTACCACTACCAAGTCATACTGTTCAATAGTTACTAGTGATGAGCTCATAAAACTTTTAACACTCTGGTTGTACAGATACATACTAAATCAAAGACTGCCTGAAGAATTCATTCAGATGATAAAGGGAAAACACAGAAAAGCAGATTTGGCTATAAAGGCTAATAAAATAGCTCTGAAAGTTGTGTGTGTAAAGGAAATCCCTTAAAGCACAAAGGGGGGAAAAATGAGAATCTGATGCAATAATTAAACCTATTTTTTTCCAGGACAGTTCAGACTTTCAACAATGGATTAAATTTTTCCCTTCCACAACATTTGCCACTTCCTGAAAAATTATTTTAAAATTGGTAATGATGAAAATACCAGTGGAGTCACTTTAAGCACTCCAAACCATTTGATAAAAATAATGCATTTGTAACTACTTACATTGACCAATCCAAAGTAGTGTTCATTGATTGGAAACTGCTCTGGACCAATGTCTTTTTCCAGAGCAGAGGCATTGGTGCCCTAGAAAAGAAAAACAACAAAGTTTTGTTCCATGTAAAAGAGACAAGAAAGATACTTTAAAGAAACAGCCATTGAGATAATCATGTCTCCTGGTCACCCTGGGGTTTGATGATGCTCATGTTGATAGAAAAGGTGCCAGAAGTAAACAGGTAAATGAGGTGATCACATAACTCCTATTCTTCTCCTCATCCAATGTAGTCATCCTTCAAACCTATTTTACTTTGCCTCCATTATCTTCTGTTAGGAGAGGAGGTTTTAGATAGGCAAATAAACAAACTCTCACTGAGAACTTCCACATAAAACATTTTAAGCTCAGATGGCAACAGCAGCCTTTCTAGTATTTGATGGTGTACAGATTCACATTATACTTTGAAAGTTAACATCTTCATGTTAATGAAGAGTTACTGTGCACTACTACCTGCCAGACACTATTCTAGGCACAGACACTAGAACAGTGAACAAAACAGATACAAAGAGTTTGCATTCTAGTGAATGAAGGCAGCCTGGAAAAAAAAAATAAGTGCACTGGATGGTACAGCAGAATGTGTTAAGTACAGTGGAGAAAAGTCAAGTAGTACACAAGGCACACAGGGCCTGAGGGGTGGAAGGGGGGCAGGGAAGGGGGTGGGAGTGGACAGTTACAGCTGTTAAGTATGGTGGTCAGGGAAGGGCTTACTAAGAAGGTGGAATGTCCAAGGAATATTGTGAATGATAAAGAAATACAAATTAATTCTTGACAATTTCCAAATACATCAAACTGATAAGCCATATGAACCCAAATTTTGTGCTCCAACATGAAAATAATAATAGCTCCAGGATACTCTATGTGCCAGGGACTGCACTAAACACTATTACTTCTCACAACAATCCTATGAGGTAAGTACTAGTACTATGCACATGAGGGCACAAAAGGGCTAAAAACTCTGCCCAAGGTTAAGAGTCAGTAAGTAGAAGGCAAGAGTAGTGGTGGTTCAGTGGTAGAACTCTCCCCTTCCAGGCAGGAGACACGGATTTGATGCCCAGCCAATGCACCTCAAGTGCAGCTACTGCCGCTCTGTCAGTGGATGCTTGTGTGCTTCTATGATGCTGAACAGGTTTCAACAGAGTTTCCAGACTAAGATGGATGAGGAAGAAAGGCCCAGGCAATCAACTTCTAGAAATCAGCCAATGAAAATCTGTGGATCATAACAGTCCAATTGCTAACCAACCATGGGAATGAATGGTTGCAGGGCCAGGCAACATTTTGTTCCATTGTATGTCAGGCCATCACATTCATTGGCAGGCAGCAACAACAAATGGTAAAGCTAGGATTTGAATCCAGAGAGTCATACTTGGGAGTCAATGATCTTAATTAACTAAATGCAATCCAAGAGCAATTACATTGGGCAAAACCATTTTACCCAACCCCACTAAAAGCCAGTCACTGGCAATATCAAACTGATAATCTTTCATCTCCAAGCTTGGATGACTCTACTAGGATTAGGAAAAGTAGCCAGAATTCAGTACAATAAGGTCAGAAGTTTGGGGGGCGTGGGGGGTGGAGAGGATAAGGCTCCATATGCATTTGTGGCTCTATCGACATTGTCACATCCTCAGTTTACCACAGAAAACCCATAGTTGAGAGAAGCTCAAAGAGTTGAGACAAAGGTATTTTCAAAAACAAGAAAGACAATTTTATTTAAAAAAAAAAAAAAAAATCATGCAGTACTACCTATTCTTGACTCCTGTAATCAGCATCTCACCTCAAGGGACCAAAACCAAAAAACCAAACTCACTACCGTCAAGTCGTATCCAACTCATAGCAATCCCTCCTTGGGTTTCCGAGGCAGTATCACTACGGAAGTAGATTGCCCCATCTTCCTTCAGAGGAGTGGCTGATGGGCTTGAACCGCCAGCCTTCTGGTTAGCAGTCAAATGCCTCAGGCACTATGCTACCAGAGATCCTCAAGGGAAGACATGGCCAAAAAGTAGGTGAGAACCAGCCAAAATGGATAGTAACATTTATCACCATGCAAACATTAAATGCAAAAATAACCCACTTCTGAGCGAACAGAACTCCAGAAACCATTGTGCCCTTTAAAGTATTCTTTCTCCACTTGAATTCTAGACCCTAAGTACTGTTTCAGCAGTCTCAGTTCCTTTCCCTGTCATCTGAGACACTGAGTTCAGTGGTCATTTGGGTGTAAGCTCTACTTTCATTACCTTTTCCTTTGTGTGTGTGTGTCTGTGTGTGCATGTGCCTGTGTGTGTGGTTTTCACTTTCTTCACAAAATTGCAACCCCATATCCAAGGCTGAATTTTTTTTTTTAATAACACTCAACAAATTACGTAAGAATTTTATGGTCTAGGTAAACACAACTAAAAATCTCCAGTAAAGCTACATCTCAAACATAAATCAATATAAATAATACATATTAAATACACCCAATAGCCATTTTTGAAGCATAATGAGAGCTTAGAGCCCAGGAGGAGTGTCAGGTACAGAAGCATCGCACATGGAATTAGATTTCATTAAATCTTTCTTTATGAGGTAGCCATACATTCAAGTTAATCCATGGTTTTTTATTATTGGAAAATTCCTGGCCACACTCTACCTTTTTCCTACCTAACTTAACGTTTTCCTTTTGGGGTGGTGGGGTGGTGTGATGATTCATACTAAGAATAGTGACCTTGGCAGGGGCAGAGTTTTTGAGGAATACCCTGGAGGTGACGAATACTCTAGAGGCAAAGGACAGGGAACACTCTAGAAGCAAAATGGCAGCACACGTAGCATAGCCCTGGGACAGGAGAAAGTGAAAACAGCCTCTTCTCTGAGGTCACCCTGCAGGTCAAGCTTGTTGCTTATTCCTTTGTACAACACACTCACGTACCAGGGGCTGAAAGGGTGCAGAGGTGAAGGGAGGTGTTATGGATTAAATTTGGCCCCCAAAAATATAAAATGTAATGCTAACCCTTATACCTGTGGATAGGCTTTTTGTTATGTTAATAAGGTTATATCAATGTAGGGTGTGCTTCAAACCAATCACTTCTGAGATACAAAAAAACCTGATTGGACACAGAGAAAGGAGGCCTGGTGGCACAAAGGGTTAGTCCTGGGCTGCTAACCAAAAGGCTGCCAGTTAGAACACACTCAGCCACTTCATGGGAGAAAGACCTGGCAATCTGCTTCCACAAAAATTCCAGCCAAACCAACTGAAATCAAAAGGATAATATCAGGATACCATGAAGAACTGTACTCCAACAAATTTGAAAACCTGGAGGAAAGGGACAGTTTTCTAGAAACACACCACTTACCTAAACCAACACAGACTGATGTGGAAAAGTTGAACAGGCCCATCACAAAAGAAGAAATTGAAAAGGTCATCAAAAATTTACAAACTAAAAAAAGTCCTGGCCCAGATGGTTTCACTGGAGAATTCTACAAAACATTCAGAGAAGAACTGATACCAATCCTACTCAAAGTATTTCAAAACATAGAAAAGGATGGAATCCTCCCTAACTCATTTTATGAAGCAAGCATAACCTTAATACCAAAACCAGG